TCACCGTTTCAAATCACTCTCTATGTAATGATACATGGGTGATTGATTCTGGTGCCACAAATCACGTTTGTCATGACAGCACACTGTTCGTTTCAATAGACACTTCTATTGTAAACGCAGTGAACCTGCCAACATGATCTACAGTTCGTATCAGTGGAGTTGGTTCAGTACAAGTTAACAAAGAGATTACTCTTCAGAACGTCTTGTTTATCCCAGAATTCAGACTGAATCTGCTGAGTATTAGTTGCTTAACTACTGATCTTAACTCCAAAGTAATATTTGATCCATCTTCATGTGAAATCCAGGATCGTATCAGGGCATTGAATATTGGTCAGGATAGGAGAATTGGTAACCTTTATGTGCTTAACACTCAGTCTCCAAAAGTTTCAGTGAATGCGATGGTGGATATTGGTGTATGGCACAAGAGGCTTGGACATCCCTCTTTTACAAGACTGGATGTTATATCTGAAGCCTTAGGAACTACACGACATAAGAATAAAGGAACAGCTTATTGCCATGTCTGTCATATGGCAAAACAGAAGAAGCTCTCGTTTCCTTCCCCTAATAATCTTTGTAATTCAACATTTGAGTTATTACATATTGACATTTGAGGACCTTTCTCCTTGGATATAGTGGATGGATTCAGATATTTTTTAACAATAGTTGATGACCATTCAAGAGAAACTTGGATTTATCTACTGCGAATAAAATCTGATGTTCTATCTGTCTTTCCAGACTTCATCACCAAAGTTGAGAATCAGTATGATAAACGGGTAAAATCAGTAAGGTCAGATAATGCACCAGAATTAAAATTTGAAGCCTTATTTCAACAAAAGGGTATTGTTTCCTATCACTCATGTCCAGAGACACCTGAACAAAACTCAGTGGTGGAAAGGAAACACCAACACATACTCAATGTTGCAAGGGCTTTTATGTTCCAATCTGGTGTTCCTCTTTCACTATGGGGAGATTGCATCCTAACTGCAGTATTTTTGATCAACCGGACTCCATCTCAACTTCTCTCAAACAAGACTCCTATTGAGATTTTGACTGGTAAAGCTCCTATATATGATCAGATTACAGCTCCACTTCACCCAAGCAACGGCACAAATTTCAGTCCAGAGCTCGTGCCTGTTTGTTTTTGGGATACCCGGCTGGATACAAAGGCTACAAACTCATGGATTTGGAGAGTAACAAGGTTTTCATTTCTAGAAATGTGGTCTTTCATGAAGACATATTTCCCTTGAACAAAGATCCAGACTCACATCATTCTCTGGAATCATTACTAAAATCAAGTGATTCTTTGTCCTCAAGTAATACTAATTTTTTATCATCTTCACCTACTAAAATTTCTACTCCTTCCCCTGAACACAAACTTGATCCAGAAAACTCCCAGCTCACCTACAAGATTACCATTGTTATTCAACACAATCGAATCTTGGTTATCCCATTTCATCTTTTCTTTCTTATTCTAAGATTTTTCAAAATCATCTCTCCTATATCAACGCTATCACCAAAATTCCAATCCCTCATAACTATTCTGAGGCAAAGAATTCAAAAGAATGGTGTGCTGTGGTTAACAAAGAGTTTGGTGCTATGGAATCAACTCAAACCTGGGAAGTTACAACTTTACCGCCTGATAAGAAAGCTGTTGAATGTAAGTGGGTATGCACGGTGAAGTTTCACGCAGATGGTAGTCTGGAGCGATATAAAGCACGGTTGGTGGCCAAAGGGTTCACTCAAAGAGAGGGCTTGGATTATAAGGATACGTTTTCTTCAGTTGCAAAACTAAGTAGAGTCAAGCTTTTGTTGAAGGTATCCGTATCTAAGAACTGGTCACTTACACAATTGGATGTTTCAAATGCATTCATCAATGGTGATTTGGAGGAGGAAGTGTTTATGAAACTTCCAGATGGATATGCTGAGAGACAGGGGGACTCTTTACCTAAGAATGCAGCTCTACGGTTAAAGAAGTCGATATATGGTCTCAAACAAGCCTCGCGTCAGTGGTATAAGAAATTTTCTGCAGCTCTGCTTGATCTGGGATTTGCTAAGGGTGATGGTGATCATACCTTATTTGTTAAAGACTGAAATAATGGTAACTTTCTGGCTGTACTTGTATACGTAGATGACATTGTCATTGCCGGCACAAGTGATGACAATGCAGCTCAGCTAACATCAGCCTTACAGAAATGTTTCAAGCTACGAAATCTTGGAGCTCTGAAATATTTTTTAGGCCTGGAGGTTGCTCGCAATTCCAATGGTTTATCTTTATGCCAGAGGAAATATGCTTTGGAAATACTTACATCAGCTGGTATGCTTGGATGTAAGCCTGTTTCTAGTCCGATGATCCCTAATCTGAAATTGTCTAAGAGTGATGGAGATCTCCTTTCTAATCGAGAAATGTATAGAAGTTTGGTGGGAAGATTGATGTATTTGACAATAACAAGACCGGATATAACATTTGCAGTTAACAAGCTGTGTCAATACTCTTCCGCTCCTCGAACTTCACATCTAAAGGCTGTATACAGAGTTCTCCAATACATCAAAGGGACTATCGGTCAAGGTCTGTTCTACTCTGCAGATCCTGATCTCACTTTGAAGGGTTTTGCAGATTCTGACTGGGCTGTTTGCCCTGATAGTCGACGTTCAACCACCGGACTTTTTCATTTTTGGGTTCTTCCTTGATTTCATGGAAATCCAAGAAACAGGACATTGTTTCTTGCTCGACAGCTAAGGCAGAATATGTGCCCTGTCTTTGGCTTCTCGAGAACTCGTTTGGTTGAAGAAGTTACTTAATGATCTCAGAGTACTTCCGGTTCAAACTCCTATACTATTTTCAGATAGTACTGCTGCGATCAGTATAGCGACCAACCTATGTTTCATGAACGTACAAAACACATAGAGTCGGATTGTCACTCGGTCAGAGAACGATTGGATAGAGGTGAGCTCAAGACATTACATGTTAGGACCGAGGACCAGGTTGCAGATATTTTTACTAAGCCTTTGTTCCCACATCAATTTCAACACCTTAAATCCAAGATGAGTCTTCTCAGTATATTTGAAAGCTCATCTTGAGGGGGACTATTGGATAGTATAGATTATGGTTTATGATGGTTTAATGTCTGGTTATGTTAAACCAATGTATATCGTAGATCAGATGTATATAATACGATGTACAGATACAATTTTGAATCAAAATAAGAAAATATATTTTCTACCAAACTTCTTCTTCTTCGTTTAGCTCTTATTCTCTAAACGCTAATAGAGGTAATTTTATATTTGTTCAAACTTGCTGCTTTCTGACCCTAGAGTAGTGATTATGTCTTTCGACTTGGTTAAATGCATATCGGTTACCTAGGGCATTGAGTTTTTCAATCTAGGGTTTAATTAAGTCAAATAAAACATAAAGGTAGGAGAAAAGATTTCAAGTGGGTTTGTTTTAGGGCTGGAACGGAGCCGGATATCCGGACTTTTCAAAGTATCCGGATTCGGCTCCGGATTTGACGGATAATCAATTTTATTATTCGGATCCGGATCCGAAAACTCCGGATATCCGGAGACCGAATATCCGGTTTGAACCGAAGATTTACGGATATCCGACCGGATATTCGGTTTCGTTGATTTAAAAAAAAACTTCAATTTTTAAAATTATAATGAGATAACATATATAATTAAAATATATCATTATAGCAAAAATTACAAATACCAAAAATTTAAAAGCATTCAAGTAGCATTCAAATAACACAAAGTTTAAAAGTTTACATAGCAAAAAAGAAAATAGTAATAGAGAAGTTAATTTATCTTCATATCCTTGTGTTATCTATTTTCATGGTCTTCTCTCACAATCTGAAATAGAAAATTATCATACAATATAAATTTCAATCATATGTAAAAGAGTTAAACCAAAAATAATTTTCAAACATAATTAAAACAAAAAATTAAATGCATATCAAAAGATTTCAAAATTTTCAAAATCTTAATAAACGGATAACGGATAACGGATATCCGATTTTAAAATTTTCTATTATCCGGATCCGTATCCGAAATAACCGAATACTTAATTTCACTATCCGGATCCGGATCCAAACTATACGAATATCCGGTTTTTACGGATCGGATAGGACCGGATACCGGATTGGATAGCGGATACCGGATAATAATTCCAGCCCTAGTTTGTTTCGGCCCAAAAAGCCACATAAAATCTACAAGGACAAAAGATAAATACAGTTGGTTCCTTGAGCTTTACGGTATATCTTAGTACAACAATGTCGGCTAAAATTATTATGTAATCCCACATCGAAAACTTTTTAAGATTTAATCATGTATATAAAGAGAACGAGTTATTATATTAATTACCAACTGGCTTTGGCGAGTTAGATAGCTTCTTGTGGAATCATGTACCCTTTGAACCCCAATAGGGTACGTACAATCTACAAATGGGGAATATATGATTCTTGAACGAGAAGAGAAGCTAGTTCGTTTTTGCCCTTTTGAAGTTTGAATTGTTTAACGAAACCATAATGTTTCCAAAATCAGTAATATCAATAGTCTTGATTGAATCATAGGGGAAAAGTTTCAGAATTGATCCCATAAACTAGGGAACAAGTCGACTAACAAAAAACATACGTACAATGGATAGAGGAACCTGAGTCCAAAGATCTTGCTTTAGGAGAAATAAACTGCAATCAAACTTTAGGAAGAAAAAATTGTTACATCATGAAATAAATGGAATTTTATCCAAATGGTTAAAGATTCCAAACAAGAGTAAGATGATCAAACATAATAAACCATGTCTATAAAACGCTACTTATATCTGCAAATTTCATGAGAATAAAGACCCACGCTACTGCTCAATAAAAAAATGGTCATAAGTAGCTGCATGTTAATAGATGAGAACCTAACATCTGGGAGAAAGCTATACGGATGTAAGTAGTTTTTGTTTCGGTGTAGAAGGATTCGTCAAACTTAGAGTCAGTTTCTTCAGGACTGCTGAATTCTCAAGAAAAGTAATTCTTGAGGACCATCTTCATAATCTGTTTGTTAATCTTAAGATACATTAGAGTCGATGATAAACACCAAGGCTCTTTTCTAAAGAGAGTTTTCTTTGGCTTCTTTGTAACAGGAACGTCCTGCACACACACACACACACAATTTGAGTTCTTGACTACATCATCAAATCAAATTTTAATAGATCTTTGAAAGATTTTCTAGATTATTATTCATGTTAATTAGTGACTTACCATGGTAAGATCTTCAAGAATAGTAGAGGCTGTGAGGAGCCTCTGCATAGTCAAATGACCATCACTTTCGTAATAGATATTTCCTAGATGCATGTTCTTGAGGCAAGGTAGACAAAAAACAAACTTGGGATCCTCAAGACCTACGTTTAATTTGTCGTTCACATACATATACTTAGGCATGAAATCTACATCACGCTTTATCTCGGACATTTCGTTCATGAAAACTTGAGCTCCGCGATGAATAACTTAGGCTATCTACTCCATGACTCTCTTTTGCTACATTCCAAGGAAAATGCAACTCTACCTTTATTATACGTTATCCTGAACTTTTGAATGAATGATCCACGATTAAGCTCCAAAAACCTGTTCACCAAACTGGGCAAGGCTGCTCGTAAACTGTTCATATTGAGGAATATACTAAATAGTGATAAATAAGAACTAATGGGTGAAAAATGAATATATTTTGTTCCAAACGAGTGATCGATGAATGAATTTTGTTCTGAAGAACTAACCGTGGATAGATTGTTATTATCCCATAATCTAGGGCATAAGTCGAGTAAACGTAGAAGTATATACAAAGCTGCGACAAGGAGACAACGTTTAGGATTTTATTTGTTATTTATCAAAAAAAAAAAAAGAGAGGCTTTGATTTACGATCATGAATCATCAATAGCTAACTTTATTTTTTCTGATTGTATCATTTTTAAATATCTATGTATTGTTTTCCAAAAAAATAACAAATTTTTACTCATTTTTTTTTGTTGTTGTAAATATTATGGATGTGAATTCTTAATGTCCTCTCTACCAATCCACTCGTCAATGGTAGAAAATATAGTACTTGCTTTTAGCCAGATGAACATTCCATGATTAAAGAATCCAAACAGAATTAATAAGAATAAATCTCAATTAGATGACATTTTAATCATCGAGTTTTTTGTTCCCAGTTAAAACCTTCTCTAGTCTGCAAGGCATAGCTGCAATTTTCATAAGAAAATATTAACTGAATGAGATCAAAGCAATAAATGTTGAATAATTTGGACTTTAAACATGTACAAATCTTCATCCATGGTTAATTAAAGATTCCAAACAAAATTAAGATAATTAAGCACATATGAAGAAGACATTATCATCCAATAGTCTATATGTGTTTCAAGTTAAACCTAAAAAGCTTTTCATCTAAAAAAGTAAAATAATATAAGCCCAATTGCGCTTTTCATAAGAATAGATAATTCCTAGCTAAACTAATTTTCAATAACAATGCTCATGTCAACAGAAAAGAATTTGACATAGAAAGCTTTGTGGATGTAAGAAGTTTCTTGTAGCTCTCTGCCTCTTGATATGTCGTATGATAAGAATATGTGCTACTCAGAGTCAGCTTCTTGAGGACTGCTGAATTCTCAAGAAAGTAATTTACTAGTTTAATCCCAGTTTCCCTTATTATCTGTTTGTTAATCTTTAACAATATGTGCTACTCAGAGTCAGCTTCTTGAGGACTGCTGAATTCTCAAGAAAGTAATTTACTAGTTTAATCCCAGTTTCCCTTATTATCTGTTTGTTAATCTTAACATACTCCAGAGTCGATGATAAACACCGAGGCACATTGGTTTAAAAAAAGTTGGTCCGAAAAGACACTACAAGAAAAAGTGAATATTGCTACGAAAAATTGTGACTAAATTGTTTTGTAACAATGTTATGACGATTTTCATACAAGATCATGACAAAATTATTTAGTCATAAAAGCGTTACATTTCGTCATAATATTGTGACCAAATTAAATGTTACAAACTTTTGTCACCAATTGTGACGTTTTTGTTATAAAATTTACAGTCACAAATCTTGTTACCGATTTGTGATCAAATCTAGTAACTAAACTATACGATTTTTGTGACCAATTAAGTCACTCATAATTACAAATGTTTTGTAAGTATATCGTCACAATTAGTTACTATTTTATTGACTTTTAAGTTTGGTCATTGATTGCGACATAATTATTATTACTTTGTGACATGATTAAAATCACACATTTATTTAAAAATAAATAAAAAATAGCTCTAATTCTATAAATATGAAAGAAAACCAATTGAATGAATTTTTTATTCTAATTTTTTTTCTTTCAGAAAACCTTGTATCTGACCAATTGTTGCTGAAAAAAATAATAATATGTATATGCTGATTTTGAGAAGTCAAAGATGATGTTATATGTTGAACATCATGGATCATTAGCATTACTTATCTAATATGCTAGTAAAGTTTTAGGTAAGAGTTTATGAACAGAAATAATAAATGTCAAATAACCAATCAGTGAATCAAATATTTTTAGTGCTACTAACAATAGAAATATAATATTTTTTTGATTGATTAATGTGTGTGATTTAGGGTATATATTTTTATTTTTATTTTTATCTCAATTGAAATAAGAAAATGTAAAAAAAAAATTGTTTTATACTAAATACACATAATAGAATAGAAAAAACTATTACAAAATAAAAAATAAAAATAAAAAGTTAATTAGTGTAGGGTATAAGGGTGTAGGATTTAAAATATATATTTTCTATTTTTATTACAAAGAAATATAAGACTTGTTTTGGATGACTGAATGTTTGATTTGTAAGATGTTTTTTTTCTATTTCTCAACTTCAAAAAAAAAATACAACAAATTATTGTTACATAATAAAAGCATAAAATAGAATAGAAAAACTATTAAAATATATAAAATAAAAAATCAGTTTGTGAGTCTTTGATTTAGAGTTTACGGCATGTGATTAGGGCTTAAAATGTAAGGGTATATGGTTTGAAACACATATTTTTATTATTTTTTATTAATAATAGAAAATATAATAATTTTATAGATTAATAAATGTTTGATTTAGTGTATAGGATTCACACTTTCAAGAATTGTTTTTTATTTCTCAGGCTTAAAAAAAAAGTGCAACTGATTATTATATCATAATAAAATTATAAAATGGAATAGAAAAGACTATTACAATATAATTATAAGAAGAAAAAGTTAGTGAATATGTTATTTATAGTTTATGGCATATGATTTGGGGTTTAAGGTTTAAAGTACATGGTATAGGATATATAGGTTTTGATGATTTAGGGTTTAAGGCATAGATTTTGGGGTATAGGGTTTCAGATTTTTGACGATTTCACAACTACAAAAAATTTAATCATTGCAAATCACTTTAAAATATTTAACTGCAAAATTTTAATTTAGTTAGAAAATAATAAATTTATAAACTCAAAAATATAAAAAGATTTATTCATTAAAAACTAAATAAAAATGAAAAACCAATGTAGAGAGATCACTCAGATCAATGACGTGGTCATTTCTCACCCCTTCCTTCCTATTCCTTTCCTTTTTCCACCATAGATTGCTATTTTTCCCATAAAAAAAAATATATCTATGTAAAAAAAATGATTAGTCTCCACAATCTTTTCTTCCTTGGCGGCGATTTACACAAAAAATAGGAACGAAGAAGAATGAACCCATGAGGAGAGAAGAAGATTTCTCTGGAAGAATACATTGATTTCTCCTACTCTAGAAAGTCCATCGACTTCACCATCTCCTACCTCAATTAGGTTATTTAAAACGATTCGATATTCCGTCTGATTCTCCTCGATCGTCATCAGTTTCTTACCTCGAACTTGTGCCATCTCTGTAGATCGTACATATGCAAGGTTTCCGAAAGCTGCACAAATGGAATAAGGTAATCACCGATCATCTCTTAAAATCAAAATCCTTAGAAATTGACAAAGTGCTTCAGATCTGTGACTGAAGCAGCAGCGATATCCTCCTACGTCGCAACCATTCTAACAATTTCCAGTTAAGGTTTTACTATTCCATAATCTCACCTTCCAAACTGTTTTTCATTTCTTCTTCTTCTATGTTGTTACAACTGGGTTGATGAATTTCAGATACATTGGGTGCATAAAAGAAAGATAGTATTAAGGTAAAGGAGACTTTGTATCTTAGTCGATATTATGATGATTAAGAATCGTGTGGTCATTACTTTATTAGTCTTTGTGAGATATCAATTGATTACCATTTAGAAGCTTTTTAAAATTTTGCCACTTTGTGAAAAAAGACATCGTGTGTTGCTTGCAGTATTTACTCTATTCGACTTGCTCAATTATCTTAATGCAAATATTAGAAATGGATAACCTGGTTTGATTACATGTGATGTGAAACTTTGACAGGTTTAGAAGTTTGGGCCAAACAACCCTAAGGACAAAGAGGATATTGGTTCACATAGTGAATTGTCGTCATTATAGTGAATTATTCTTTTGTACTTTTCGATTTGAAAGATATTGTTTCAGTCTCTTAATTTGTATTGAATTACAACCATTTGAAGCCAGGAATGTACTCGCCACAAGATCTATCTCAACGGCAAATGAGATGACAGAGGAAGATGACCAATTGGGTGACCAGATTCATGAATTAAAGGTCTCCTTCTTCGTTAAATATTGGTGCTATGTTGGCGGGTATAAGTCACATTCAAATCTCATTTTAGATTTTGGTTTTGTTGTCCACGCTATAATTTTTTTTTTTGGGCTGATGATGTGAGAAACTTTTTCAATTTAAGTTCGTAGCTTTATTGATTTGATCCTTATGGTTATAGGTGAATACAAGATCTTGAAAAATGGAAACATAAGACGATATATGCCAGAACAATTGGGGAGGCTCTTCCTCTTATTCTTCAAAGTTGCGTGAGCTGGTTTCTTCAGACGGAATCCAGACCCTGGGAAGATGCTTCAATCTTGGATTACGAGATGGGTATTGACTATTAAGCCAGGTTTACTTTAAGACCAAATGAAAGCTTCTTTGGGCAAAGACAACAACAAGTTTGAGATTTCCTGCAAGGCGTTAAAGGTCAAGCTTGAGATCCTATGACGATGCTGAGCAACCTGTACCTTATTCACAAGTTTATATACAAAAGTTGTATAAACTTTTTTTTTTATTACGTACGTTTACTTTGTAAGACTGGTCATTTGTATCATGGTTTCATTTATGAAAATAATATAATAAACTATTGCATTTTTGTAATATGTCAATTTATTTGGGGATTTGCAACTAAAGTTTCGTAATGACAGAATTGGGACATTGTAATAGTCACGAAATATGACAGTTTTAAGACTGTTTTTTAGTATGTAGGTATAACGAATAAATAACGATTTTCTAGTCATTATTTGTAACGATTTAGGACTAAAGTTTCGTCAAAATGAATGACAGATTTGGGATATTATAACAGTCATAAAATATGACGGTTTTGAAACGTTTTCTTTACTCTCTAATTGATACAGTTTTAGTTACTTCAATTTCTTGTCACTATTGATGACGAAACAGTTACTAGATATATTCGTCACAACGAATGTGACGTTTTTGTTACAAATAAAAATTTGTGACGACTGTATTGTGACTGTTTTTAAAAAACATCACAATTCCGTCACAATAATTTTAATTGCTACGAATTTGTGTTTATTGTGACAGAATATTTTGTAACAATATAGCTATTTTTTTGTAGTGAGAGGCAGACACATAAGTAAAAATTCCTGCAAACAAAGAAAAGAAAAGACTAACTGAGTTTATATATCATACAATCAAACTTTAAGATCTTAGGCAGATTATTAGATAATCGTAAAAAATGGCTTACCATGGTATTGTTTTCTAGAACAGGAGAGCCTGAGATGAGCTTCTCCATAATCGAAAGACCATCACCATTCATGTAATCCATAAATAAGCAGTATTACCACTGCTGTAATAATTGTTTTCTAGATGCATGATCTTGAGACAAGGTGGAGAAACAACAAACTTGGGGTCTTCAAAATCAAGCACTTACTCTTACGAGCTTCAAAGACACCAATGTCTTGCTCACATAAACATACTTAGGCATGACATGTATACTAGATGGTGGACACACTTCGTTTTCAACATCTAGATGTTGAACTCCGCGATGAACCACTTCGGCTAGCAACTCCATGACTCTCTTGCTACAGTCGATGGAAAATGCAGTTATTTCATAATTTATCTTGATCTTTAGTAGACACGATCCAATGTTAAAATCCAGAAATCTGTTAACCGAAATCCGTAAGACTTCTCCAAAAGGAAAGAAGTCAGTAGCGTTGAAGTCCAATCCGGAAAAATTTAGCCAGAGAGTATGAGAGTATATAAGTTAACCGAACTCCGTAAGACTTCGATAAAACGCTTGTGTCTACGGAATCTTTAGTCATAAGGTATGAGAGTATATAAGTAAGAAAACAATCAGCAATTCGCTGATTCTATCACAACCCATCCTTAGAGCATCCATCAAAATCTTGATCAGACCCTAACTCCTAAGGCTTCTCAATTTTATTACAAAACTAGGGTTCAAGGCGATTAAACGTATAAATCTAGGGAGGAATTTGGATCTGAAGAACTAACCTTCTCGTAGGCCTTTGAGTTTCTCAATAATATCCCAAAAATTTAGGGCTTAAGTCGATGAAACCTATGTAGAAGTACAAAGCTACGACTACGAGACAAAGTTTAGGGTTTAATTTATCAGAATACAAAAAGTTTAATTAGGGGTTTGGGGCGGGAGTTTAAGCCCAAAAGGCCATGAAAAATCTTTACTAATAAAATGGATTGTTTAGGGCTCCTAAGACTATCCTGAAATAAATTAAGAATTTGAAGATACACAAATTCCCTAGGTACATCCATTTGTGCAAATGTTTCACTTAACTCATTTTCTTATATGTTTTCTCTACAAACATTGCACTTAATTCATTGCGATAGACAGATTCCAATTTTTCCCATTTGCAGCTAGAAAACATGTTATTTATAACGTTTGACATGCTCTTCTTCAATTGACTTCAGCTTATACTATGCGAGCAACAGCATTGTTTTGCAATAAAACTTTTATGATATTAAAACTATCCATGTGTCCTTGATGAAGATTTTTTGTTGGAACATAAGAGGCCTTAATGGTCGTAATAACCAGGTTGCCGTATCTCGGTGGATGGCTATTAAGAGGCCTTTAGTAGGGAGTTTTTTTTAGTCGTGAGTGCGGGAAGAAATTTTTTTGAAGGTTATGTCCCGTGTCACTTCTGGTTGGCGTTTTGATGATAATTACTCTGGATCGGCTCTTAACAGAAGAATAATTGTGGTGTGGGATCCTGCACTATCTCTGATCGTCTATCTTAAATCAGATCAGTTGGTCATTTGTGGGGTTTTAAACCCAGCTAATAATCAGTCTTTTACGGTCGGGTTTGTCTATGGTAGGAATTTGGAAGAGAAACGGAGGGCATTATGGTCTCTACTGCAGCAAATTGCCTCCTCTCCTCTTATATCTCATTCTCCATGGCTTGTTGTTGGCGACTTCAACCAGGTCTTATTATCCTTTGAGATGTACTCTCTTATTCCTTATTTTGTTTCCTCCCGAGAAATGTTAGAGATGTAAGCTTGCTTTTCTTCTAGTGGTCTATTTGATTTGGCTAGTAGGGGCTGCATTTTCACTTGGACATATAGACAACTTGCAAATCATATCTCGCGGAAGTTGGATAGAAACTCTTTGTAATGAGTCTTAGTCGGATTCTTTTCCGTTATCCTCTACCATCTATGATGCTCCTGGTCCATCGGACCACTCTCCTTGTATGGTCCATATCTCAAATGCTGAGGTTCGAAGGAAGACTCCTTTAAGATTCTTTACTTTTTTCATGACCCATCCGGATTATCATGAGCTAATCTCCGAGGCATGGAATTACTCTTCTTATGAGGGGCTTCCGATGTCAATGCTTTATAGAAGGCTGCATGAAGCTAAGTATTGTTGTCAGGCCAGGAAGTCGTGAGATTTTTGGGCTGCTGCTGAAGAGTCTTTTTTTAGACAAAATCGAGAATGTGATGGTTGATGAAGGGTGATTCAAACACCCGGTTTTTCTTCAAATCAGTCAGGGCTAATCTCTCGAAGAATGTTATACATTATCTTAGAACTGATAACAACATCAAAGTTACCAATACCTCTCAGTTGAAGATTATGGTGGAACAATATTACTTCTCAGTCCTGGGCTGTAGTAACCCTTTTGTTACTCCTCTCACTGTTTCCCAGATCCAGGCTCTTCATCCTTTTTGCTGTGATCTCAGCTTATCTCAGGCTTTGTCAGCAGTTCCCACTGCTGAGGAGGTGAAGGCAGCGCTCTTTTCTTTGCCTAAGAACAAAGCGCCTGGGCCCGACGGTTTTATCGCAGAGTTCTTAACCTTTTTGTGGGAGCTGGTTGGTTTGGATGTTGTATCGGCAGTTCAGGATTTTTTCCATTCTTCTAGCTTGTTGAGGCAGGTCAACACTACTGTTATATCCCTCATTCCCTAGCAAATTGGTGCCGAGAGACTCTCTAAATTTTGGCCTGTGTCTTGTTGCTCTACAATTTACAAAATCATCTCTCGTCTTCTTTCTGCTAAGATTAAGATGTTTCTTGCTGAGGTCGTCTAGAGGAACCAGGTGGGATTTATTAAGGGTCGGTTACTATGTGAGAATGTGTTATTAGCTTCTGAGCTGGTTTCTGATTTTCACAAATCGAGTCCTACTACTCGTGGGTTCCTTCAGGTTGATCTAACTAAGGCATATGATAGTATTGATTGGAGATTTGTTATTAATATCCTCTAAGCATTTGAGATTCCTTCGGTATTTATGTCTTGAATTAAAGAGTGTATTTCTACTCCGTATTACTCGGTTAACTTCAATGGTGAGTTAGCTAGATTTTTTCCTGGGAAGAAAGGATTGAGGCAAGGTGATCCGATTTCTCCCTCTCTCTTTGATATCGCCATGGACATCCTTTCTAAGACCTTGGATAGAGCTGTGGCTCTTAACAGGTTCAGGCTGCACCCCCTTTGTCTGGATTCGTTGGTAACACATCTCAGCTTTGCTGATGATGTGCTCCTCTTCTTTGATGGATCCTCCTTATCGCTTGAAGGCATTATGGAAATATTGAAATTTTTTATTAAGCTTCTAATCTTGTAATTAATCTTCAGAAATCCTTCTTATTCCTGGATGGATTCTACTTTTACCACCCTCTTGGCTTCTCGGTTTGGCTTTGCTGGGGGCTCTCTCCTGGTAAGCTATTTAGGCTTACCTCTAATGACACAGAATATGAAACCGGCTGATTACCATTCGCTGATTGACCGTAGAACGTCATGGCTTGTTCGTCATCTTTCTTTTGCTGGCCGCTTCTAGTTGATCAGATTAGTGATTTCAGGGATGATCAATTTTTGGTGTACAGTCTTTCTTTAACCGAATAAATGTCTAACAGAAATGGAAAGACTGTGTAACTTTTTTCTTTGGTCTGGAGCTCCTAACTCGGCTTGAAGAGTCAAAAGTTTATTGAGAGTCAGTGTGTACCCTGAAGGAAGAAGGTGGGTGGGGACTAAGGCGCCTTGAGGCTTTGAACAAGTTCTTTGGTTTAAAGTTCATCTGGATCCTCTTTACCAATGCTGGCTCCCTATGGGTTTCTTGGATTCAGAAGGTTCTTGTTTGGGATAGAGTTTTTTGGGATATCAGGTCTAATTCAGGAGGCAGCTGGATCTGGCGGAAGTTGCTCAAGTTGAGAGATTTAGCTCGTCACTTCTTATGTTGCATTGTTGGATCCGGTTCTAGAACTCGGTTCTGGCATGACGATTGGACGAATCTTGGTCTAGTAGTCCTTTTTGCTGGTATTAATGGTTCGAGGATTACAGGTATTCCTTACTCAGCCACAGTTTCTAATGCTGTTCGTGATAGTGCATGGCTGCTTCCGCGGGGACGTCATCCAGTCAGTATTTTACTTCGTGATATTCTTCGATCCTCCAGGGTTAGTGCATGATATGGAAGATATCTTACAATGGCGCTATAATCCCTCAACTAATCCTGGTCTGTTTTCTGCTTCCAAAACTTGGTCTGCTTTGCATCCGTCTGGTCAACCTGTTTCTTGGTTGTCGGTTTGGTTCTCTCATTCCATCCCCAAGCACGCTTTTATTCATTGGGTGGTAGCTAGGGATCGGCTTCCTACTCGTGAAAGACTTTGATCTTGGAGATTGCCGGTCCCTGTTACCTGTTTGTTATGTAATGCGACACCGGAATCTAGGTCGCATTTGTTCTTCGGATGTATCTTCTCTGTTCAAATTTGGAAGGTCGCAGGGTTGGATCGGCAAGCTTCGACTCTACGTCTCAGTTCTACCTCGTCGAGCATGGATTCATTTCTCTCTACATGGTTTGGTTACTTTCAGTTTGGGAATGACCCTGCTCCTTAGGGCGTTTCCTCTGCTCTCTTATTCTCTCTTATATGATTCTTTTTTTACGTTCTCTTCGCTATGTATTCTGCTCCAGATTTTAGGCTATGTTTCACAGCCGTTGCTCACCTGTTAGAGCATGCTCTCTTTCTCCTTTCTCCCTCAAGCTCATAAACGATGTACTTTTTGGTGTGGACCAAAGAGAATTAAAAGTTAAAAGGTTTTTTTTTTTTTTTTTTTTTAAACTATCCATGTGGGAAAAAATAAGGACAAGTAACATAACTAGACTAATGACCAATTGACCAGATAAGCACCAGATTTTTGGAAATAAAAGTCACTTTGCAGAGGTTTTTGTCAATCTAGTGTTCTGGCTTTTCTTTGTATAAGGATGATCCAAATGGTTTTAACTCAAAACATTAGGAAGAAGTTTATCTTTCCTATTAGAAACTTATTTTCTTTTCATATATGATAGAGAATGCAAATATATGTATATAAATATATGAAATTTTGCGTGCGCACATTTGTATTTGACTCGATTTCTTCTGCGTTTTTTGAACAGAAAGAGTCACTGAAGCTGCGAACTAACATGTAACAGGAAAAAAAAATTCTTGTACTGACCGATTCAAAGGAAATCGATGACCCAACAATAAAATGCACAATTTGGCTTTTTTCTTAAACCAGTTTAACATTGCATGATTAAAGAATCCAAATAGAACTGTAAGAAGAACATATCCCAAGTAGACACTATTATCATCAGAGTTTTTAGTTCCCAGCTAAAACATTCCCTAATATGGAAGGTCTAGCTGCAGTTTCCATAAGAAAAAGATTAACTGATTGAGATCAAAGCAATAAAAGTTGAATAATTTGGCCTTTAAACATGTACGAATCATCATCGATGGTTAAACAATCCAAACAGAAGTAAGATAATTAAGCATATATCAAGAAGACATTATAATCCAATAGTCTCTGCCTCTCTCAGTTTATACCTAAAAATTCTTTTATCCTTAAAATGCAAAGCATAATTGCACTTTCCATGAGAATAGATATTTCCTACAGTGATTTTCAGTGACAATACTCATGTCAATAGAAGTGAAATTTGACATCTGGGAGAAAGCATTTTGGATGTAAGAAGCTTCTTGTGGTTCTCTGCCTCCTGATCGGTCATATGAGAATATCTGATACTCAGAGCCAGTTTCTTGAGGACGGCTGAATTCTTAAGAAAGTATTTCACTAATTTAATGTCAGATTTATTTTTCATGAACACTTTGTTAATCTTGACATACTCCAGAGTCGATGATAAACACGGAGGTGCTTTTCTAAAGACAAATTTCTTTGGCTTATATAAAACAGGAACATCCTGGAAACACACACACACACACAAAACAACCTAAGTGTAATTAAAACATCAAATCAAATTTTAAATAGATCTTAGGCAGATTTTCTAGATAATCATGTTGATTAATGGCTTACCATGGTAAGATCTTCAAGAAGAGGAGAGCCTGAGATGAGCTTCATGATAATCAAAAGACCATCAAAGCTCAAGCCGAAAATGTCTTCGAGATGCATGATCTTGAGACAAGGTAGAGAAACAACAAACTTGGGATTCTCAAGACCTACCTTTACCAGCTTTAAAGACACCATTGTCTTGCTCACATACATATACTTAGGCATGAAATCTATAGCACGTGGTGGATACGTTAATTCGTTTTCAACATTAGATGTTGAACTCCACGATGAACCACTTCTGCTATCCACTCCATGACTCTCTTTCTACCATTGAAGGAAAATGCACTACTTTGATACTTTAACTTGAACTTTTGTAGACACAGTCCGCGATCAAACTCCAGAAATCTGTTCACGGAACTCACCAAGGTTTGTCCATGAGGATGGACGTCAATGGCGTTTAAGTCCAACTTTGAAACCTTTAGCCACAGAAACTCCCATCTCTTCGATAAAATGCTTGTCTTAACGGAATCTTTGGTCGAAAGGTATGAGAATATATGAGTTAGCAAACAATCCGGCAATTCACTGATTCTATCGCAATCCATCCTTAAATTAGAGCATGCATCAAAATCTTGATGGGATCCTAGGGCTTCTCAATTATACCACAAACTAGGGTTCAAGGCGATTAAACGAAGAAATTGACGGAGGTTGGATCTGAAAAAACTAACCGTATATTTCGAATGGCCGGAGATTTTGTTATTATCCTAGGGCGCTGAGTTGTAAATCACAAAATCCAGGGCTTACACGTAGAAAATAGAAATAGAAAGCTAGCTACGAGACAACTTTTTTTTGTTCGAGACAAAGTTTGTGGTGGTTTTATTAGCGGGAGCTTGAGCTTGTTTCGGCCCAAAAGGCCACGAGAGAAACATAATAAGAACAAAAGCGAGTTATTCGTGGTTTAAGGTGAACCCAAGGTAAACAGTTTGTAGTTGACTAGCTCGGTGCATGCACTAGTATTAATATAATTATTAAAGTTTTTTTTGTTTGTCGATCCAATTATTTGAGTTTATCAATCGTTAATATGAAATAATCATATGAGTTTGTAGAAATCAAAAGTGGAATCTGAGTCCAAAATATCTTTTATGTCCAAAGTGATGACAAGCAGTGGCGGAACTAAGTTTGTTGGAGGGGGTCAACTGACCCCTATAAATTTTATAAAATTTCAAAATTTCAAAATTTCAGTTGATTTTGTAGAAAATATTAGTATTAACCTGGCAAAAAATATATAATGTATTAGTATTGATTCCAGTAGAAAACATTTCTGGTTTCGCCATTGTTTGAGCAAGCATGCTGTCATATGTCCATTGCTAGTTATCCATGATTAATTTACTAATTAACCTATTATGAAGATCTTAGAATAGGCTACTGACAAGAGAAATCAACATTCCATTGGCATATAATCTTTCATTAGCAGTGATACTGATACAATGCATAAACTGATTTCCGTATAGTTCCATTTTCTGTCTACCCTAAACTGAAATAGCCTTTGATCACTCATTAATAAAATAATTGAATCCACACATTCTTATCTCAATTCGTAGGTGTGATATCCAACAAACAAACTAGTCATCAAGCCAACTTGTTTGAGAATGTCAATGAAGGTGATTTTTTTCCGGGTGATGTTTCTTTTTAGTTCTCCTTTGAAGCAAGACATTTATCAAAAAGATGAGAGTGTAGAAGATTAAAGGAGAGAAACATAGATCGATGAAAGAACTGCAGGGCCGGATCTGAGATTTTGGGGGCTTGAAACAAAATAAAAAATGGGGGCCGCTATTCTTTTTTATAAAAAAAAAATTTAGATAAAAAAACTTTTAAAAGTGCGAACGTACTAATATTAATGATACACAAGTAATCCAAAAAAAAACTAATAGCAATCTATGGATTTCGAAAAATAAGTTTTCTTATATTTTTCTCCACAAAATCATTTATCAAACTTTGGTAGTCAAGCTTTCCAACCATATCTCTCTCAATTGACAACATTGCCAAACCATTCAGTCTCTCCTCTGACATAGTTAACCGCAAGTAAGACTTTATTAACTTCAGCTTGGAAAAACTTCTTTCAGCCGAAGCAGCAGAAACTGGAATAGTTAGCATCACTCTATATGCAATCCACGTATTTGGATAACCATGACCTTCAAATCTTCTTAAAAAATCTAACACTTCAACAGCTTTCTTGATCTCAGTTGGCAAAACATTTCTTAGAATTTTGATCTCTAGATATAAATGATATCCATCAATGTCTGAATTGGCACCATGTTTAAGAGAAGATTCAAGGTTGATACATTTTGCCTTCAAACTATCATCCGTTGCCGATTTGAGCTTATGTAGATCAAACAAAAATCCAAAAGTTTTTTCATACTCTTCAAATTGTTCAAACCTTATTTGAAGAGATACTATAGCTTGATCCACGATTCTCAAGAAATAATCAATCTTAAACTTCTCTTCCTCACTTAGCATCTCAGATTCATCATCTCTTTCTACTGCTTCATCAAAATGCTTCTTCCTTTTAATAATGCGCTTTCGTTTCACTGAAAAGTCTGGTTCGATATCCATAGACTCTGCAATAATCTTAGCTTCTGCTTTTGCTTTTTCAAATCCAGTTTCTCTATAGTTTTTCAGAAACGATACTAACCCTTTCAATTGAACAATAGCATTATCAATATCAATATGCTCTGATTGCATCATCTTACTTACGGTATTGACGGCGAACAGAAGATCATACCAAATAACCATACCAAATAAGAACTCAAACCCTCCAATTCCATGAGTTTCGCTTGTGGCAAGAGCTTCAGCATCGCTACGAGCTCCAGGATCATCACAGTTTTCTGCCAAGTAATCCAAAGCATCTCTTATTTTTGGAGCTTGAAATCGAATTG